ACTTGGTGCCACTTCAGCTTGAAGAGTTGCTCTCCTTTACTTCAGGGTAAAACCAGCTCACCCTTGCGTAAAATTTATGGTCATATGCTGAGCAGCAAAGCTTGCGAAGCACCGCGAAGCCCGAACGCAGAGAATAGGGTTTCGGGTTTGAGCCTTGTAGCTTCCAAAACCAACGGAGAGTGCATAACAGGTACAGCCCCAACATTCGGGGTTCTTTATGTGAGGAACTCCCCCCAACCACGGAACCTTTCTTCCTGAAAGAGCATGATCAGTGCGATGTTCGATTACGGCTATGCGATTCACAGTCCCGTACAAACAAGACGGTGAGAATGCCGCAAGGGTGGTTCTTGAGCTTAGCCTAGGTCCTTAAGCAATGAGTCTGAAATCGTGCGAGTTATGTAGGGTTTCCGTGGGGCCGTAGCTGACTGCAAGCCGTGTTGGGTGCTGTTTCAAGGGAAGCTCAGGGAAGAGGTTCCGGACTGGTCTCGACCCACTCCGAAAAGCGCTTCGTGTTTCTCAAGCATGCAGTCTACTGCATTAAGGGTAAAAACAACGGAACCCAATGTGTTTTGGAAACTCTGACATGGGTGAAGCATCAAGAGCCTCTTGGGCCCAAGGTGATTAGCGATGGATTCCCTTTGGGAGCTTCCTCCATGAGCCCGAAACCCTAAACCCTAAACCCTAAACCCTAAACCCTAAACCCTAAACCCTAAACCCTAATCCCTAAACCCTAAACCCTAAACCCTAAACCCTAAACCCTAAACCCTAAGTCTTTGTACGCCAGAAAGGGGAGGTTCCACACCATGGCGGCCTACGCGCCGAGCATCCCGTGCAAGGCACGGGGGGGGAGGGTCCCTTTTATTGGGGGTTTAGGGTATTTGGGGTTTATTGGGGGTTTGGGGTATTTAGGGTTTATGGGGGTTTGGGGGATTTAGGGTTTTTGGGGGTTTGGGGTATTTAGGGTTTTATGGGGGTTTGGGGTATTTAGGGTTTATGGGGGTTTGGGGTATTTAGGGTTTATGGGGGTTTGGGGTACTTAGGGTTTTATGGGGGTTTGGGGTCGTTAGTTTTTTGGGGGTTTGGGGATAATTAGGGTTTTTGGGGGTTTGGGGTACTTAGGGTTTATGGGGGTTTGGGGTATTTAGGGTTTATGGGGGTTTGGGGTATTTAGGGTTTATGGGGGTTTGGGGTACTTAGGGTTTATGGGGGTTTGGGGTATTTAGGGTTTTATGGGGGTTTGGGGTATTTAGGGTTTTTGGGGGTTTGGGGTATTTAGGGTTTGTGGGGGTTTGGGGTATTTAGGGTTTTATGGGGGTTTGGGGTATTTAGGGTTCAGGGATATTTTTTAGGGTTCAGGGATGTTTTTGGGAGGAAGCCGGTGGAGGACTTGGGGGGGCCTTGGATTCCGGGACGCCGGATGTGGCACAGCTGAAGTGGGAGTACGTGGAGTTTCATGGGCAGTTGGGAGCAGGCTCAGACAGGGCATGAGTATGAAATTTCGCAGGTCCTCACCATCTTGAAGGTTTCTCTAGCATGACTTGCAACATCTTGCAACTACCCATGGTCTGTACATTGGTTGTCCATCGTCGGTGTCCATCAATCAGGAAAGGGCGGTTGGCCTCGCAGGACAGTGAAGGCCTTTTGGTTCAGGGTTTAGGGTTTAGGGTTTAGGGTTTAGGGTTTAGGGTTTAGGCTGCTCTCCCTGTGCTGTGACGTTTCTGGTCACACCATCTCAAGGCAAGCAAGCTCATCGGCAAGCTCCAAGGGTCTCTCGGATGCTTTCCTTGAGTTTTTGACGGCTGTTCCCTAAACCTTGAACCCTCAAGCCTAAGCCCTAAACCCTGTTGCGCCTTCTGTGGGTCATGTCCCCTTTTGCATTGCCAGGCAGCCAGTGCCTCCGGCCATGTTGCTCTGATGACTCGGCCGGGACGATGGCAGACCCTAAGCCTTAAAGCCTGAAGCCAACACTCAGGCACCTCAATTCCATGGGGGGTTGGCGTTTGTCTGAGCTGGTCTGAGGGTTTAGGGGTTTAGGGTCTAGACCCTAAACAACGCCTGCCTGCACTCTGCTTGGGGTCTAGGGCTATTTAAGGGTTTGGGCCAGAGAATCGCACGCTTGGCCACAAAAGTGCTTGATTTGGGGAGTTCTCTGAATAGGGTTCCCGTTTTAGGTACCTAACCGTTTGCTTTGAGGAGATGCCCATGTCGCACGCTGCCAGGTATGGACTTCGAGAAAATGGACGACGAGGAGCTGAAGGAGGCCATTCCTTGCGAATCACCGGGTTTAGGGTTTAGGGTTTCGGGTTTAGGGCCCCTCGGAGCCCTCAGCCCTTGCACTTCAGTTCCTCCCCAACTTAGTGTCCGCTCATCAAACCAGAAAGCAGAGACCTACACACGTGTGGTTGTTTAGGGGTTGATGACAAGAGTTCGGAGGCGCAGAGCTCAAAAGATTGCCCAGCTTCCGTCGAAGCCCTTGTGGCGAGCGTGTCCTGCCCTACAACTTGGCGCCAAAACCCTCAGCCCGAGAACTCTGACCCAAAACCAAGCCTTACAAAGACCCCCCAAAACCCCCCCCCCCCCCCCCCCAAACCTTCTAAACCTCCCCAAAGCCACCAAGCCCTTCAATCCCTGAAATCCGGAGGTCGACGTCGCAGACTTCTTCCGCCCGCGAGCGGCTTGGGAGAAGGCTCGGGTGCATATTTTTTGGGGATAGAAGAAGCAGGCTTCGGGGCTTGCGCGGGGTTTTCAGCAGGCTTCTATAGGAGTTTTGGGGGCTTCAGGGATGATCCACCCTCGACCCACAACCCTCAGCCTTGATTTAAACGGTTTAGGGTTTAGGGTTTAGGGTTTGGGGTTTAGGGTTTAGGGTTTCCCTAAACTCTAAACCCTGAACCCTAAACCCAAACCACAAGGCTTGTCCGAGTCCATGAAGCCAAGCTTCACTTCTACCCAGAGTCCATTGGCGTCTGTTTTTTTTTTTTTTCCCCTCTGGGCTTGGGCTTGTTTGAGGTTTAGGCAGCTCCAACCCGTGACTTCGCTTCACCCTTGCTGAACCCTGTTCGCGTGTTGAGGCTGATATCTTCAGTGTCTGACCACCAATAGTTCAGACACTGCTGGTTTCATCGACTGTGCTGCCGGGGTTCAATGGCAGTGGCAGGCAGTAAATATAGGAGGAGGAGGCAGCAGAAGCAAAACCCGGGAATAAGACTTGCCGCGGCCAGGTAGAGGATGTGGCCCCGGAGTCAGAGAAGAGGAGACCCTAAACCCTAAACCTGGAACCCTAAACCCAAGTGCTTGAAACTTCTAAGCTGCGATCGCCGCGTTGACGCGTGAAGCTGCAATCTGCCGCAGCTTCAGGAGACGGGCCGAGGAGGCTGGGACCGTGCTCTGTGCGAACTCGGAACCCCTTGAGCCCCAAAAACCTACTCCTCAAACAGGTTTAGGGTTTAGAGTTTAGGGTTTAGGGTTTAGGGTTTAGGGCTAAGTAAGCCTCAACCTATCGCATCCCACTCCCCGGACCCAGGCGCCCGGGATGATTCGCCTCTAGGCCCCATGAAACCCTAAGCCCTTAAACCCTGAAGGCCCGAAGGCCCCACACCTGAATCCATAAACCCAATAAACCCGAAGCTTAAGTCCAGCCTTCAAAGTATGGCCCCTCATTTGAGCCTCATTCTGGGGTCTTTATACACCCATCCCGAACCCTCAGCCCTTTGTGACCCCAAAACCCAAAAACCCAAACCCCCTGCTTGAAACCACATGACCTCCTCTAACCCATGAGTCCTTCACCCCCCCGAAGTCCCTGAAGTTGCCGGGACTTAAATACCTTCCGAAGCCCTTCCTTCCGCCAATCCCCAAATCCCCGAAGCGTTGATAAAAACCTTAACCCTAAACCCCAAACCCGAAACTCTAAACCCTTAATGCCTCCCCCCCACTCTCCCCCCCAAGCTACGTAGGCAGCTGGCTCACGGCCCCTGGCGGCGCCCGACCTCGCGCCCGCGGATCTCAAAGCCCGGCTGGCCGTGGGCTCGGAATCGTTGGCTTCCTCGACCCAGGTCGTTCGGGTTTAGGGCCAGTTTAGGATTTAAGGTTTAGGGTTTAGGGTTTAGGGTTTAGGTTTGTGCACTTCAGGGGTTCCCCCTATCAACCCTAAGCCTAAACCCTAAATCCTAGACCCGAAAACCCTAAACCCTAAGCCCCTAAGCCAGAGACCCCCGACCCGACACCCTCAACCCCAAAACCACATCGACCCCAACTTCCCTTGGCGGCCCCAGTAACCCCAAAACCCAAAACCCAAAGCCCTAAACCCTAAACCCTTAACCCTTAACCCTAAACCCTAAACCCTAAACCCCCCCAAAAACCCTAAACCCTAAACCCCCAAAGCAGCTCACAACTCCGATGCTGATCCGAGGATGTGTTGGAGGCTACACGCTCTTCGGGGGCCTGCACACGTCGGCTCGGTTTAGGGGTCTCGGGGGTTTAGCGGATTTAGGGGTTTTTAGGGGAAAGAGTGGTACCTTCGCTTTGATAGCGGTACTGGGAACTGGCTCTTCGAAATGTCAGTAGTTCCGTCTTGCTTTCGGCGTGTTGGCCAACTACAGGAAACCTTGTAGTTGGTTCCCACTTTCACGTATTCGGCAGGTCTTTGTCGTGGTCTTGTGGTGGTGCACCTTAAAACTGGTAACCATGCTGTCGCTGCTAGATTTCGATCTTGTTGCGCAATTGCGATCTTGGTTGCTCGTTGGTTGCACGAACCAGCTGCCAGTTCTGAATTGAAATCTGTTAGATGTTCATTGACAAGCAAAGATGGCAAAAGGGCATAAAAGGGAATATAACAAAGCACTCGTGTAGAGCTTGTTTGCATTACCCGTGTGTAGGTCCTCAGCATGGATTGCTTCTGAGCCCCGTAGACATCATGTGTACTCAGGTGACTCTTGGCTCAAGAACACGAGCCTTTGTTGACAGCGCTATCGGTTCACGCGATTGAGAATCAGCTCATTCAGATGCCGCATGAATGGATGAAACTCCTGGCTGGCGCCTTATCGCTGACATCCGGCGTGTGCGCAGACCTGAGTACGCAAAGATGCGTCTTGGGACTCTTTCCGCCATACTTGGTTTTCTCCTTTTTTTGGCAGTTTTCCTTGCTTTTTGTACGTGTTGGGAGATGCGCGCAAAGCAACGGCCAGGCTTGGCAGGAGATGAAGAATGCTCGGGGCCGGAGCTCCTGGCTTCTGCCATCAGCGCAGAGAATGCCAGCAGCAGCGAGCTCAACTTGCTCCAATCCGCTGCAAGGCAAGCGGGGCTTCCAGATCCGCACAAGCTCGGCTACAAGTACATGGCAGCCTAGTTGCTGTTAAGACTTTTTTCAAACAGTTTTAAGCCTAGTCAGCTGTGTTGTCATGCCAGGTTGTGTCTTGTGTTGCCTTGTGTAGCCAAATTCAAGGCAACTACCACAAGATACGGCCACACCAGCCTCACATCCTGCGGGGGTCTTGACACAATCAAGATCGTCAAGGGCACGGGCTACTATGCGGTCGCCTCAGCACAGAACATGCAGGGCGACTTCGAGCGAGTCTCCGGCAGCTGGTGTGGAAAGGACGGCGGAGGCCAAGGAACAGCTGGAATGGGTTGCGGGACTTGTGGCGAGGGCCGCTTTGTGTATGGGCACCCCCAGTCCTATCCTATGTACGTCAAGAAGGACGCCGAGATCTTTAAAATGACAATCAAGTTCATTGTTATCGATACGTGCACGCACGAAGCAGGAAACTTGAAGTGGTGCGAGGGTAAGGCAGGACAGCCGAACAGCTATGGCGCTCTGAACCACCTGGACTTCGCAGACCCACCGCCCCAATTCGACCACTACTACTTTGCATTCAGTCCAACACCCTGCCCAGCGGAACTCAAGGAACGATTTGCTGCACAGAGCCAGTGTAAGCGGTGAGGCACATGGACTTTCCTTGCTGATATGCCGTTCAGGCCACAGGTCGTCCTTGCTGCCGTTGCGGAGGTATGCTTTCGGAGATCATCTCCATTGAAGTCACTAATGAGACAATGAATCTATATGGACATCCACGGAAGTCAGGCGTGAGAGTGCCGGCTCTTCGCCGCATTTCGGGCTTGGTGCCTTGTGCTAGCATTGTACATCAGGAGCACACCCATGTGGCTTCTCTCGTTTAGCACGTCGATGTTCGCCAGTTTCTTGCTTTGGATGGCCACGGAAGCACGTCTTCTCGCTGCTGGGAGCAACAAAAGGAAAAGAGGTGATTGCAGAGTTCCTCCAGACCGATTTGACACTGCCATCCCCCCACAACAACCACCTAAGCTGACACGTCGGATAACAGCTCACTTAGGGCCCTAAACCTGGGTTCGGGTTCTTTCGTGGCTTAGAATTTAATTTTGATTTTGAATCTTAGGCTGCAAATTGCACCTTTCTCCCCAGTCTGCCATAGGCGAAGGTCCCATGAAAGGCTCTTGTTGTTGAGATTCATGGTCAGGGGGGTTGGGGTTACAGTTGTGGTTAGCTCGTTCGTGCGTGGTTTTCGACGTGCCGAACGCTCTTAGAACCGGTATATTTGAGAGATTTAGCGGGGCGAGACTAAAGGGTCATTATTGCAGTACACAATCTACTGCTTGTAGTGGAGGTGCCGAATGGGCACCCTGTTGCTGGAGTTTCGGGACCTCAAAGCCCAGACCCTTAAACCCCAAAAGCCCTGGAAAAAAACAAAACCCCAAACTCCCAGACAGCCCTAAAGCCCTAAACTCTAAACCCATCGAAATCCTAGCTAAAGCCCCAAAGCCCTAAACCCCCAAAACCATTTCAATGCCCGAGGGCCTTCCGGTGGTTCGCAGGCAGAGCGGCTCGAGATGTCGATGCTCCTTGCGCGCTGCGACCGCCCGGCTGTCAAGGTGTAGTACCCTGTTGGGGGCTTTTTGGGGTTTTAGGCCTGTTAGTACCGTTAGCTCTTTTTTTGGGGGGGCTTTTTGGGGTTTTTGGGCCTGTTAGTACCGTTCGCTTTTTTTTGGGGGCTTTCAGGGTTCAGGGTCTCGGGGTTTAGGGTGTTAGTGCCCTGTTGGGGGCCATTTTGGGGGGTTTTCAGGGGCTTTCAGGGTTGAGTGTTTAGGGGTTTAGGGTGCTCGGGGTCGGGTTACTTTATCATTCCAGAACCTAGTCCTGTTTGTTCGTTTCTGGGATGCGAAGGCTGGGCTGAATCAAGACTGATGAGGAGAGTAGCTCGAGTTGCAAAGGGTTTCGGGTTTAGGGTTTAGGGTTTAGGGTTTAGGGTTTAGGGTTTAGGGTTTCCCTTGCTTTTGGCCGTGTAAGACTCTGGGTACTCTAGGCGGATAACTCTGACTACAAACCTGCCCTTTCCTTTCATGGCCTTTAAGCAGTTCTAACCACCCTGGAAATTGCGCCATAAGAGCCCCTAAATCCTCCCTAAACCCTAAACCTTAAGCCCTAAGCGCTTGAAAAGCATGTAAGCCCTAGACCGTGCCCATAGAGGTCGTTGGTCCGTTGCGTCGGAGAGTGGCGGGTGTTACCAGCGGTTTCGTGGCTGTACTGTTTAGGGCTTTAAGGTCATTTTGGTTGAGCGCTTTCAGGTTATCTTGGTTTAGGGCTTTAAGGTTATCTTGGTCAGGGTTTAGGATTTCGTGTTTAGGGCTTCAGGTAAGTCCGCTCAAGCGCCAGCTTAGGAGCGGCTGCAGGGTCTTGGGAGCTAAATAGCCGCCGCCGCGTGTGGATTCGGCTCAGCTGGAATGACGACATGTCGCCACACGAGCCCGTGCACCCTCTAGACCCTAGACCCTACATCTGTCAACCCTAAACCCTAAGATCCCAGACCCTAGCCTCGAGACCCTAGACCAAAAAAACCTCAGACCCGAGACCCTGAACTCCATAGCCCAAAGGCCCCAAACTTAGGCCGCGGACACCCTGAATCAAGCAACATTGATTCCTTGAAGCAAGCCCTTGCACCCCTGACTCATGTGACCCCTAAGCCCCTGGACCCCTGAAGCCCTTACATCCAAAACCCCCAAACCTGCCTAGACGCAGATCCTATCGCTGAACCCCACAGACCAGAAAAAAGCCCCTAAGCCGCCTTTGTCATGGACGGGGACAAGCCCGGCTCCTCAACGTCATCGGGCTCCGACTCTTCATCGAGCTCCAGCTCGGATGACGAGGAGGCCGAGAGAGGGTGGGCTTTTTTGGTTCAAGGCATTCATGCAGGGCCGCGCTAGGGGATTGAGCTAAACCCAATTTTCCATCCCCAAGACCAGCCAAAGCCCTCATTCCCCAAGATCCAAGAATTCGGGGAGTAGACCTCAAACCCTAAACTCCCCAAACAAGTCTTTCTGGGGTGCCGCTTTGGACCCCAAAACTTGTGAAGGTACCCCGAAGGACTTCGAGTAAGCCCTTAAACCCCTAAACCCTTACACCCTTGAGCCCTTCAACCCTTGAACCCTTGAACCCTTGAAACCCTGCAATCCTTGAACCCCTAAACCCTCAACCTCAAACCCCCGAACCCTCAGCCCTCAACCTTAAACCCCAAACCCCAAAACCCCAACACCCTACACCCTAAGCCCTCACTCAAAAAACCCCCCTACACCGCAGGCTTCGGGGCCCGAGCCACCCAGCGCACGCCTGAGAGCCACCGAGGTGTAGGGTTGAGGGTTTCGGGGTTCGAGTTTTCTAAGCTTAGGGCTTTCGGGCGTGCGGTCTCTAGGCTCGGGGATCTAAGGGTTTCGGGGGCTTAAGGGATTTTATGGTTTAGGGGTTTAGTGTGGAGGTGGGGTTTAATTATGTGGGTTGAGAGTTGGAGGGCGTTCCGGGCTTTTTGTTTCTCAGGGCTTTTGGGGGGCGGGTTTGGGTCGAAGGGCTTCGGGTTTCAGGGTGTCAGGCCTTATGGACTTTAGCGATTTGCTTAGGGTTTCAGGGCTTTCGATTCAAGTGTTCGCAATATAGCACGTCGAATGAAGGGCATCACAGCTCGCAATAAAGAGAATCTATACCAACCACAGATCCACACAACCAAACTTCTCTTATGCCTATCTCTAATTTACATTGGCAGCTGTGTCTTTTGCTGGGAGGCAGACAAGCCGATTTCGGGGTCTGTAGGGTTTAGGGTTTAGGGTTTAGGGGTTTAGGGTTTAGGGGTTTAGGGTTTAGGGGTTTAGGGTTTAGGGTTTAGGATTTAAGCAGAAGACACTCATGGACGACACACATGTATCCGCCGTGCAGGCAGGGGTCAGCGAGTAGTCACGACACTGTCTACATCCAAGTCAGAAACATCGACGGTGCCTGACTCGAAAGCACCCCCCCCCCAAATCGCCACAATTTGCGCTGTTTGCAAAATTTGCACGCAAGTTCCTTGGCTTATGTGGGCAAGCTTGCTTCTGGATTTGTTCCGAGAAGCTCGCTTTTTTTGCAACCCGACACCTGGTGGCAACCATCCTGCTTCTCGCTGTGGTGGCCGGGCTGCTGAGCTGCTCTCAGCTTCGCTCCGTCGATGTTGTGTGCGTTTTTGGCCAAGCCGCTGTCGATCTGGCAAAAGCAGACGTGAATAGCGCCGTGAGAGTGGGCTTGAGCGACTCAGAGCTGATCGAGCTGATCGGTGTCGGTTGATTAGCACGATCGGAAAGGGCTTTCAGGGGTTGAAGGTTCAAGTTTGCGGTTGAATAGTTGATATTGTTTTTTCCCTCACCCTCGGTGTGGGGTTGTTCGGCTTTAAGATGTTTTCCGCTCGCCTCCTCGCCTGGTGTCCCGCCTGGTCTCCTGGCCTGGTCTGGAGACCCGACCCACAAGGAAGCCCACAAAGACTCCCACCAAGCATGCCGCAAGGCCTGGAGTGTGCACGCCCAGAGAAGCCCGCAAAGAGTCCCGCCAAGTATCCCTGTCCCTGGACTGCCCACAGCCAGGAATGCCCGCAAAGAGTTCCGCCGAGTGTCTTTGAAGCGTGCCGAGAATCCCGGCCGATCATGCCTGGTGCGTTGACCCCCACAGCCTTTCCATGATTTCCTGCAGTGTCCAATCCCGCAGAGCATCCTTGGAGGCAACCGCGACCGATTCCTGCGGCGAAGTATCCTGAAACTAACGCTACGCGACCCGCCTCGGCCCGGCCCAGCGCATCCGCGTGAGCATGGTGATTCCGCAGCGCCCAAGTCGCTGGACCCCAAGCAATAAGGGTTGGGTTTAGGGTTTAGGGTTCCGGGTTTATGGTTTATGGTTTGGGCGAGGGCGAAAAGGGTGGCTGGGAGGGGCTTCAACTGCCTCTGGTCCTGGCGAACCGTCCGCTTGCGGACACCGGTTTCCCCCATTTGAGGCAGAAAAGGGGTCCGAAAAATGGGTTTGGGTGTGGGGGGAGGGTGCCTGTTCTGAACCTATACACCTCCGGCCCGAGGCCTCGGCGGATTAGAAGGGCCGGATGGTTCCTCGGGATGACCGGATGATCATTTTTTGGTTTGGGGGGTTTGGGGGGGTTTGGGGTTAAGGGGTAATGGGGGGGCTTAACAGGTTCAGCGTTTCGGGCTTCATTGGAGTTTAGTTTAGGGGAATAGGGTTCAAAGGTCAGGTGGCAGGGATAGCTCATGTGTTTTTGAGTTTCGAGCCGCCAATCACAGCATCGGAGAAGAATGGGCGCCACTCATTTTTTTCAAGCGCTGGCCGAAAATCAACACACGTCTAGATTTCGGCAGATGTTGACCTACACTTCTCTTGTGTTCAGAAACCGTCAGCAAGCGGTAAATCCTGCACGGGTAGTTCTCTAGATTAGGGTTCTTTTTTTGAGGTCCATTTTTTCAGGGCTTAGTGAGTAAGGGCAGCCTCCCTCCCTGGAAACTCTGAGCCGTCGACCCAGGTGATGAGGCCGCGTCGGACCCCCCGACAAGCCCCGAGACCGCTCCGCAGAAGGCTGAAGGCGCCAGGGAGGGTTTAGGGTTTAGGGTTTC